CCACCGCTCTTGCTGCTCCGTGAACTTATCCAGGACCACTTTTTCTTCTTGCCCTTGTCCTTGGCAGTGCTGGCCGACGAATGACTCCTTGAGCGCCGACGTTTTCTTGAGCCTGACGACCCCGGATTCCTCCTGGTCGTCGGCTTGTGCAGTGCACCCCTATCTAATGTCATCCTTCTTGAACGGTGGGTAGGATTAGCCTCCCGCTTACTTTTCGTGTGAGCACACGTCGAATCACGTTTATTTTCTTTTCTGTACTTGCTCAGCACAGTAGCGGTTGAGGACCTGTTCGTGAGTGCTCGTCGATGCCGGTGGCCGCTTGCCGACGTCTTGCGTTCTGACAGACGTAACCTTTTAGTGCTGCGTTCGTCAGCCTGTCTCGTGAGTGGAGAAGAACTGGCATTTGACCACCGACGCTTCCTAGTCATACACCTCTTCGCAGTCCTTGGACTCGAAGATATGCTCGTCGATGACTGGTGCCGCTTAGTGAGGTTGCGCTTCTTCCTTCTAGCCTTGGACTTGTCACTACGAGATGACGCATCTTGCCTTAGCGCTCTCCACTCGGACTCGTTACTGCTAACTTCTGACTGCGTACTTGGTGAACGGTGCCTCTTTGTTCGCTTGTAGAATAGGTTTCTTGGTCGTGAAGAGTTGCTGCACGACCTGCATGGCCTCCTAGACTCTCGTTTTTTCCTGACACCCGTAGTTGACGTTCTACTAATCGCGCCACGTCTCTTTGTAGTACTGCGTTTGTGACAAGCACTTCCACGTAGTGACTGGTTTCTTGGCGACTGTTGCCCACTGGTCATCCGTGTAACATTACTCTTGCGCTTGCTCAAGCATCTCTTATGCATTTGTAGTGGTCGTTCACTTCCACCCATGTGTTTTCCTCTGCTGTCACTTGTCCCCGACTGGCTACTGGTCGATCGGTGTTCCCTCTTAACTGCGTTGGCACTACTGCGGCAACCACTGGATGACACGGTACTTGACCGGCTACGCCGTCCATTATACAACTTCCATTCACTGCTTGTGTTAGACGAATCACCACTTGATATACTTACACTCTCGGTATCACTCGTGCCAGAGCTGCCACTGCTGATGGATGTTTCTCTGAAGCGTCGCTGCCTTTTGGCGACGTGCTTTTTTCCTCTGCAAGAGCTTGACAGTGCCATTTTAGACCTCGCCTTTTTATTCCCGTAAGTTTCCTTCACGGGAATGCTCGATGACCTGGACGTTGACCTCTGGTGCTTGTCATTGCGGCTGGTACTTCTAGACGCTCTTCTTGGGCGATGCCTCCTTTTGCTTGCTGTTGACCCAAAACTAGAGTTGCTCAGAGAGCCACTCTTCGGACGTGTACCTTTCCTGGATAGACGTGCACTCTTGCCACTCTTGCTGACGACGCTTGCAGACGAACCCCTTGTGCATCGACGATTTCTTCGCTTGGACGTCTGGTCACAGCTGTTTGCCAACGAACTGGTTCTCGACGTCCTTGGAATCTTCCTACTGATCGATGTCGTTCGGCTCGAAGACGGGTGTTGTTCGTCTCGGTCATAGTACGTACGCTTCGTCTTCACAGTGTACGACACTGTCGAGGTTACTTCTGTAATTATGGAGTCTTCAGATGCCCGTTTTTCAGTCTTCGCAGTCTTCTTTTTCGCCCCCATATTTACTGGTGAGCTTTGCACGATCCGAGCTTGAGATGTCGTCACTGTGGTATCCACGCCTACGTCAGTCTTCCTCGCTTTCTTCCTTCGAGATAACCCTCCAACTTCTCGTCTTTCAGCGTCTTTCTTGTCATTTGCCGCTTCGTCCTTCAGCTCCGAAGATTTGCGCGTAGGCGTACCTTTCCCAGATGCGGTGTACCCAGGCCAACACACGCACAATTGCGATTTCACTTGACCTCCTTGATCATCTTCGAATTTCTTATCGGTTATCTTTCTCCGCAGTCGGCAAGAAAGCAATGCTTTTTACGTGAACAGCCCGTGATGGACGAGACGGACTGGCTCGGCAAATGCCACTTGCGAATTTCCAAACCGCTGCCGGGCTACATCGAGAATCTTTGAAGTTGTCCGAGAACCGCGAGAAGAGGATACATGCGGAACGCGAGATCACTGACATTTCGGGCAATTTAGACCAAAAATGTAGCCAGAGTGTAGGGGCATATTACGCAGCCCCGCACTTCCCATTCTTCCTCTTCTTTTCTACTAATGACACGACATCTGGTTACGATGAGTAGAGTAGAGCAGATTCTTGAGCCTGTGCCAAACACAGACATTAGGGTTTGGCCAAGATCCGGATAGTTGTATCGAAAAATTCTTTATGAAAGGTCGAATTTTGCCTATTTAAAAAAAAAGAAAATAAAACAGAAGTGATCAATAGAAACATACAATACAATAAAATATAAGCAATTAAGCAGAGACTGAATAAAAAGCAGTTTAGAAAAGTAGAAAAATAGAATTAACGGCTGGAGGAGCTTTATTTGTAGTCTTGAAAAACACGACTATAGCACGCAGTGGGCTTCTACCACGTTAGGATGGGCAGGCTAAGCCTGACCGCCGCATCGTGGGCTTTCTGGCGGTCCAAAGCTGGTCCCCCTTGTTGGGGCTCCTATGGCAGAGCCCCACTCGGTCAGGTTGGCTTGATTGCAGCCCACTAACGAGGGGCATCGCCAGAGCGTACGCTCTAAGTTAGCTTCTTCCACACAACGGGCGCACGAGCTTGTACTGCAAGTATCGGGGTAAAATTTCTGAAAGAAGGACAGATTCGAGTATAAATCCGTATGTAAGAGTCTAAGCGTTATTGCATGGGCTCCATGTAGTTTAGGCAGACATCTTTCCGAAATGTATCAACACCTAGTTGAACTAGGTGTTGAAACTAGGCCAAGCAGTGAATAGTTTAATGAAATGGGCATCGAAAACATGCATACTTCTGGGGGAAAAGTTATGAATAATCGATATAGGTAATATCGGTAATAATACTATTTAGATCAAAACTTCCTTGTTTCAGTAAACAATTTTTAGCAGTGGCACGAACATTCCTATGAAGATGTCTAACGAGGAGACTCCTAAGGATAATATTTGGCATAGCCATATGCAATCCAATAACGCGACCACGTCTGTTCCATCATAATCCGAGTTTTCTCGTCTTAATTATTCTTGGAAAATGTATGGTGTTCCACAAGAGTGGCACAAATATCAATTACTAAGTATACTATGATGTCGAGCCCCTATCTAAACTTTTATCTACACAGGTTTGGTCTGGTGAAGTTTGCCTCTATTGCAAAGAGAGAAAATTGATGCCTCATTTCTTTTTAACTTACAGATTGTTCTCAAATCAAAGAAAAAAATATTTCTAGATGAACCATTCCGAATGATGGGCTTAAATTTATCTTTTCCGGTGGTACTTCTCTCTAGCGTACTGGGAACGTTTGCGATGCCGTATGTGACTTCCTATGTGAGACAACATGGATCGAATGTTAAGGTTATCTAAATGTAGCTTACTTTTCAACGGCATTGGTTTGTTGATATTTTTTTTATTTTCAACCAGTTAAATCAATTATTTATTTCAAGAACTATCTATTTCTAAACCTGTTTAGAATACAAGCAATTTCGTTTCTAAAAGAAGGCACCACCTGTGACACTTTCTTAATACAAAGGAGGGAGCGTGGGGACGTTGAATTTGATGAAAAGCATTAAAATTAACCGACGTATGTGTAAGCAAAGTTACCACGTCCACGCACGCCACGACCAGAATCTCATTAATATGGAGAACATGCAGTAGGAGAAGAGGTTTTAATTGCATAAATAAGAGAGAGCCACGAAGTATTTGTACATGAGGAGAAGAGAATTGCCTGTGCGACACGCAAAGCACAATTAAGCTGAAGCGACGACTGTGAGATCGTTACAGACGATTTAAAAAATCCCGTACCCAAACTTTGTTAGCAAGATACAACAAGAAAGAGGGGCACAAATCAACTTCGAGGTGTTTAATGACATCTTTACTCCGGATCATGTGTTTTGACGGTGTCAGGTGGCTTTCACAGACCGGTACAAGGAGAGTTGTGGTAAAACGTCTTTTTCTGTGGTGCTGTTTTAGATCAAGTACAACCCGAGAAGTCCCACCATACGGCGACAAGGTTAAACATTACTGTCCTGACGTGGGAGCTGCGTTGGCCAACTTGATAGATCATATTCAAAAAATGAATAAAGTTCATTATATCATATTATACCATTTTAATGCGAGCAACACCATGTAAATTATTATTTCGTTGCTCTGTGCCAAACCCGTATGCACGCGTATGCAAATGTCCCCTTCTAAAACAAAACTCGCAGACCTGCGGTGCATAGTTTTGCCTCCAATGGTGGTAAGTTGGTGTATTTCTGTTGGTGTTTCAAATACACATAATGAATACTTCCAATCAAGGACATTGACAACAGTTCTTTCGTGCCTGTCTCACTAATGTGTTTTTGTTTGTGTCATGGTTATTTTTCTATATTTTACAAGAACAACATTTATTTATATTTTACACAATATTTTACAAGGAGGGGGTACTGCTGGAGTAGTTTGGTTCAAGAAAACGCACACTCGCCAATTAAAAAGAACACAAAACAACAGAATCGACGTTTCGGCGCGCATACGGAGTAGTTTGGATGAGGCAGGCAAGTTCCGGTGTTCCTTGAGGTAAGCAAGCATCCCTCGAGCGCACCCTTCAAATTTTCATGGACTAAAATACCTAGTATAACTATCAGTTAAAGCGCACGAAAAACAGACATGAAGAGAGGACAAGCGCTTGATTGTGTTTTGCTGCACAATAAAGAGTTTGTTTTTCTAGATTATGTTCCGGGATAATCTGTCTTCTTTTACCATGTGTTCTCGATGTGCCACTGATGTACTTTTTTGCCTGCACACGCATGCGTCGTGTTTTGCAGTCACCTGTATATATATTCTGCCCTTTCTAATAAACAGTTTAGTTGCGAGAAAAAGCGCTTGTCCTCTCTTCATGTCTGTTTTTCGTGCGCTTTAACTGATAGTTATACCATGCATATCCAACTAGCCCAACCTTTCGATTCTGTTGTAAAATACCTAAAAGAGGCATGGCACAGCTAGTTTTACCGTCACTGCAGTCCAAGATCAAACAGCGATATGACAGTGACGTCTGTCGAAATGCTTTAATATGCACCTCTAACTATATGGGAAAGCCACATAAACTAAAATGACAGCTTGGCCTTAGGTGATCACCCATCAAAATGCTTTACAATATGACCCTACTACTGTTTTACGGTTATGCCAGGCGATGTCCACTCGTAAAACTGCTCACTTCACATAGGTCATAGACATCGTCCCTCTTCTGTCTCAACACGGGTATCTGGTTTCTCACACACTTCACGAGATCCATGTCTACGTCACTGACGATGAGCTCCTCTCCGGCAGCTGCCGAAGTGACGACTTTGCCCGTAGGGTCAACCAACATGCTGTGTCCCCAGGACACGTAGCAAGCACTTTCGTCCGTCGCTGTAGAAGCCGAAGCGACGTAGACCTGATTGTCGACGGCCCTGGCACGCTGAAGCAACTTCCAATGGAGCGGGCCAGTCGCCATGTTGAAGGCACCAGGAAACAGTAGAAGCCTGCAACCTCGCCTGGCGTACAAGTTAGCGAGTTCTGCGAAGCGCAGGTCATAGCAGATTCCGAGGCCCACCTTGCAGTATGGTGTGTCGAAGGTTGCCAGGGTGTCGCCGGCAGCGAAGAAGTCGGACTCCCTGACGCTCATCTTTCCGGGTATGTCAACGTCAAACTGATGCAACTTCCGGTACTTGGTCAGGAGCTGCCCATCGGGTCCGTAGACGAGGCAAGTGTTGTAGAGTCTGTCGCCTTCGCGTTCAGCCATCGTTCCGCCGACGATGTAGACGCCGTTGTCTTTGGCCGTGCGAGCCAAGAATTCACTGGTGCCGCCGGGGATAGGTTCGGCGTACTTCTCGAAGTTTCCGACGGCACACGGAAAGCCGAAAAATTCGGGCAAACACACCAGCTTTGAGCCCCTCGCGACCGCCTTCTGGACATGCTCGGTGGCCTTAGCAAGATTTTCGAGCCTACTTTTTTGTACAGCCAGTTGAACGATTGCAATGCGAAACCTCCCCAGTGTCATAGCTGACAAAACTCGTTGATTCCCCGTAGTCACTATGTATGTATACTATACGCATTAAAAAAGACGTGTGAGGAGTTCCCTGGACATCCAACTCATATATACTCATACCAAGACATCGCGCAAACGACACGCGTGTCTCGTAAACCGGATTCACTTTCCATTAGCATATTATACCATAACAAAATGAAACAGAAAACTCGTGGGACGTTAGTCTCTATAGCACGTAGTGGAGTTAGGGGGCCTAACCCATACGCTCAGCGGAGAACTAATGTAAATTTACTCACGTTCAAATCGCAAGGTCACTGCTTTTATCCTCGACCTCATTAAAGGTTGTCACGTAGAGTACTTGAGGAAACGTTGTCCTACCTGCCGAATCACGTGGTGAACTCACTCCCGTTCAAATCACAAGGTCACTGCTTTTATCCTCGAGCCCATTAAAGGTTGTCCTGTAGAGTACTTGAGAAACATTGTCCTACCTGCCGAATCACATAGGCGCCACTGAAAATGCCCTTTATTTTTACGTGCTGCCTAAAACAACCTTCGTGCTTGCACCATTCAGATTATTCAAACGCGAAGCACTTAGTGAACTTTAGTGACTTTGAGCGTATCTATTTATTAATCTATCAATTCGTCAATCAATCAATCTATCTATCTATCTATCTATCCACCTTCATCTTCGTGCTATCGTGGCTTCTTCATTACCTTGATATGAATCAAAAGTGGCATGACATCACAGGACTGTAGGACGAACATAAACACCATTACATGAATATCATGACAGCATGTAATCTGCATTATGAAGCAAATGACACGATAAGTGTGCTCTATGTAAGAAATGACATAATATGTTATTCTATGAGAAACATAAATGAAAGGTTATGACAGTGCGCCATAACATCATAGCAATGCCTTGGTGCTTTCGTGGTCGTCTCAATAACGTTTCACATGGTCACTTGATGTGACAACTCATTCTGTATCTCTGTGACGGGAATATCCCAATTTGGAGCTGCCAAGAGACAAGACGTTGTGTCGTGTTCTTCCACAGCATACGGTGTTTGTGTAACTGCATTTTACTTCAGCTACAGTGTCATGTGCCGGAACCGCATCGTGTGCTTGTCTTCGCGTTGTTATGTGGAAAGACTTATAATCTGTTCTATGCGAAACTTTTTTTTTTTCACTGCTGTGTTTTTCCCATATATGTATACCTTCCGTATGAAGTAATAATAATAACATCTCGGGTCTGACGTCCCGAAATAACGATATGATTTTGAGAGCCGCCATTGTGGGGGGCCTCAGAAATTTCGGCCATCTGGTCCTCTTGACATGCACCTACATCGCACAGTACACGGGCATCTAACGTTTCACCTCCATCGAAATTAGACCGCCACCCATTAAAAGGAGTAGCCGGTGCCATACAAAAGTGCCAATATCTCCTCAACGCTTAAAAAAAACACAAAAAACAACCGAGTACTCTGAGCCATTACCTTCAAATGACTAAAAAGAGGAAACTGCGGGGGAGAGAAGAGGGGGGGGGGGGGGACTTTACCATATGCACATTATATCTTGCGAGTGCCGCGAAGATGTCAACACCCTGCTATCTTGTAATCCCATTCGCCAACCTGAGGCCGAACTTCGCAAGTGACAGTGAATAATTACCTTCGGTACGTGCTTCGGTTCTGTCCTTTAGACAGCAACGCTTTCGATGCCGTTTGTAACCTTCACGAAACAAGACGAATGCGGCTTTAAATTTTAACTTTTATAAGCATAAATATGGCAGGAATGATTTTATTAACACCAATAGAAAATGTATTTTTCCTATTACTTGAATTTCTATTCAACCTAACGACTGTAGTGTCTGATCTGAAGGAATTAAAAAACAATTCTTAAACTTTTCAATTCTTTCCCTTACACTCAACAATTCTTTCAATTTTACTAACGCTTTCCTTCTTTTGGTTAGCAATATTCAGTACTAAAAATGCCTAAAAAATCATACAATCAATTCTTGGCTACTCCTCCTGAATGGGTTTGAGCCATGTTAGAAGTCACAGCAACAACAACAGCTGTTTGCCTGCAGTAATTTCTACCACCTGGGGTTGTTTATTGCGCACCTAATATTACGTTGGTCAAAAGTTCCCAGACTACTATCTCGTCTATTCCTATGGCAGTGCGCCCTTAGAAATTTTGACCAAACCGGCACATGGACCTCCAGCAAGCCGCCTATGAAATGCGACCGTAGCGGCTGGGGTTATATCCCACGACTTTCGAGTCAGCCATCGAGCGCCGTAACCACTAGATCACCGGGATGGTTGCATGCATGTATGTATGCATGTATGCATGTATGTATGCATGTATGCATGTATGTATGCATGTATGCATGTATGTATGCATGTATGCATGCATGCATGCATGTATGCATGTATGCATGCATGCATGCATGTATGCATGCATGCATGCATGTATGCATGCATGTATGCATGTACGTTTGTATGTATGTATGTACGTACGTATGTATGTATGCACGTACGTACGTATGCATGTATGCACGTACGTACGTATGTATGTATGTATGTATGTATGTATGTATGTATGTATGTATGTATGTATGTATGTATGTATGTATGTATGTATGTATGTATGTATGTATGTATGTACGCGACAAGAGCTCCCGCTGAGTGGCGCCCGTCCTCGGACTCTTGCGACCGTGTCCATCTTTCCTATCTTCTTATTTCCGTATGTGGGTCTCTCTGTCCCTGCCCCGTCTCTATTGCTATCCCTTTAATCTTCCCTATCCCTTTTAATCCCTCCTTACCCCCATCCCTCGTGAGCCACTGTTGAGGTGTCGCACTATGATGCAGACAGTTACGTGGCTCACTTTTATCTTCTTTTCTCTCTTTTAAGAACCACTTACACACACGTATGTACGCGTGCAGCTCTTTTGGGAGTTTTAGAATAACGTTTGCGGGTGTTGCGGGCGTCGTTGGCACAGTGGGCGCCATATGCGTTTTAAAAACGCGTTTGCCCTGCTGCAAACAGCAGCGCGATTTCGCAGCGACACCATAACCTCGAAACCAGCGCTTGCGGGCCGCAAACGTGGCAGCTATTTCGGATTCATTGCGAGCGGGCCACGAACGCCACAAGTGACTCGCGCACAGCATACCTGACTTGCGTTACGACACATTCGCAGAGGCAGCGATCGCACCGCAAGAACTCCCTAACATCTTGCAACGCGCATAGCGCATGCTCGAACTCTTGTTTTGAAAACACCCGCGTAGATCCAACGCCTTTCTGTACATCCTCTCTCGGATAAAACGCCTTCTCATTTCTAAATATTTTTACGTAAATAAACTATAATTTTATTGCCATACATTTTAATATTTATTTTTATTGCCTTGGTTTTCAGTGGAGTCAATGCAGAGTTGTTCAATTATTGAATAACTCTGGAGTGAATGATCTTGCCGTTTAGCCTTTTCTTTTCCCAGCTTGCCGTCGAAATAACTCGGAACTTCTTCCCGGCACTCGTCGAAATAACGAGATTTTGGTTTTGTAGGCGGGTTCTGCCTTCAGCTGGCCGCTCTGGATAACACTGACGGATCTATTAAACGAGCCTGTTTGCGTTGTTATCTGTTGCTGCAGTCACTAACGCACAGATGTTTTTAAACTTTCTTGGTTAGCTCCGGCGTGATGTGGGCATGATACGTTGCTACAAAAGCCGGTGTCTACAGCGAGTCAGGTGATCCTCCGCTACCATACACCGTGCATCGCCTGACGTTTGCCTGCCGACCAAACAAGATCAGCAATGGCCAGCACTAGATTCCGTGTCGCGCTCATCCAGCTCGCGGTGAAAGCAAGCAAGGCAGATAACCTCGCTCGCGCCGGAGTCGAAATCAAGAAAGCCGCGTCGAGCGGAGCGAAGTTCGTGTGCCTGCCCGAATGTTTCGGCTTTCCGTACGGCGCCCAGTACTTCCCGAAGTACGCCGAGTCAATCCCCGGTGAGACCAGCGAGATGTTGTCTAAAGCTGCACGAGAGAACGGCGTCTATCTCATCGGAGGATCGATGGCCGAAACGGAGAACGGCAAGCTCTACAACACCTGTCTTGTCTACGGTCCTGACGGTGAAATGCTCGCAAAGCACCGCAAGGTTCACCTCTTCGACATTGACATTCCCGGAAAGATAACGTTCAGGGAATCCGACAGCTTCACGGCCGGCAACAGCCTGACCACGTTCGACACCCCTTACTGCAAGGTGGGCCTCGGCATCTGCTACGACCTTCGTTTCGCCCAAATGGCGCAGCTCTACGCCAAACAGGGTTGCAAGCTGCTCTTTTACCCCGGTGCCTTCAACATGACCACGGGGCCTCTTCATTGGGAGCTGCTTCAGCGCGGCAGGGCAGTCGACAATCAGCTGTACGTGGCGACTGCGTCGCCGGCTAGAGACGAGAGCGCTTCTTACGTCGCGTGGGGTCACAGCATGCTTGTCGATCCCCTCGGCAAAGTCGTCGCTTCGGCGGGCGCCTACGAAGAAGTAGTCATTGCAGAGGTGGACCTGGAGCACCTCGAAGCCACCAGAAACCAGATACCGATTACCAAGCAGAAAAGGGATGATTTGTACGATGTTGTTAGCATAGGCGATGGGAAATATGTGTGAGAGAAGTGTGGTGCTCTCTAACCATGCCGGCTTTTTTTCTTGTAAACTTGTTCAAAAGTCCACAAGACCTTGCGGCATGATGGGAAGCCGATCTCTCTCTCTTTTTTTTTTTTACAGAAAAATTGTTGCATTGGGTGATAAAAGCTTATTGGTTTTTGTCATCATCTTGCCAGTTTTAGTCACCTGTACCAATAATTAAATAATGTTTAAGAAGCTTGTGTAAACTGGATTTCTCCATGTTAGCTGATCCAGCATTACCATTTTGTGTGTGGCTGGTTCATTTTCGAGTACACACACTAAGGTGGCTAAACACCTACGGCGTTGCACTGCTGTTCTGTTCGTGAATAGGGTCTTTGCTTCTAATGAGAGCATAACATCTCTGTTCTTATATTTAGGCCTCACTAAACAATCATTGGCAATTAAAGTTAATATGGAGCCCTCATTACGGCACACCTTATGCCATAACCACTCCAGCAGCTATGTTTACTATTGTACACATCCACTGTATAGGGCTATCGTGCACACCACATTATTTCAACCGACTTGAAACGCAATGACCACACGATCCCTAAATGTGCAAGTATTGCAGGCTAATTTAACTTCACTGTGTTGTGTTTTGCTGCAAGATGTCTCTTAATTGAAGTCACTAAAGGTCGCTTGTTCGATCCCGGTGGTGGTGGTCGCCTTTCAATGGTGGCGATATGTTGGATGTCCATGTACTCTTCGGTGTTAATGCACTTCGCAGAACATTAGGTGGTTGAAGTTTTCAGAGCCTTCCACTCTTGCGTCCCTAATAATCACATCATGGTTCTGGGATGTAGAGCCATGACAATTATTATTATTATCATTACATGAAGACACTACCATGATCAAAGAGATGTTCAATGAGGTGCATGCAAGGAGCCAAGCTGAGACTATATTTTTGTTTGGTCAGAATGGATATAACCGTTGAAAAGTCGCCGGTGGTTTGCAAGCCTGAGATTTCGTTATTTTTATACAAAAATAGAACACTAGTGATTTCAGAAGAAAGGAATCTTTAATTAACACCTAATTCATCATAACTATTGAAAAATTCACTAATCACCTTATTACTAGTCTTCTTTTTTTTTCATAGCACTGTCAAGTGTCTTCAAATAAGTTTGCTTAAGTTTCGCACATTTACAGACTATAATTCGTACCTCAGTAAGGTATTATATTTGGGCACTCACGGCTTTAAACTTAATATTAAATGGAAAGTGACATTGCTCCATACAACAATAAAGTAATTGCACACTAACCAGCAAGTATGATATCACAATAACCAGGCAATATTTGGGACAGAAGGGAGTTCAATATATTTTTATTCTGTTACGATGAGAGACCCATTAAACTGGGAATGTTTGTTGCTAAACATCCAATAGGGTTGTAATCTTGCTCTGCAATGAATGCTGTGAAAGGCAGTACCATCTGCACAATAACCAGCATGGCATCTTTATTTATGCACTTATTACTTCCGTTACCTTGCATATTCTCAAGTGCCTAGGCATTGTAGAGGGAAGGGTTGAAATGAACGAAGGCACATGCAAAGATCAAATGGATGAGAGCACTTCATGGAGTGTCTGCACATATCTCAGCTTTAAAGCATCCGAAAAATTAAAGTTTGTTCAAGTTTCTCTTAATATGTGGGCTTTGGGTGGAATTAGAAAGCCCTGTCAATGATGACATCTGAAACTGTAAGATGCAGCATCAAGGGTTTAATGGCTCTACTACATTTATAGCGTCATCTGCGATACAGGAAACTATTACGACTAGTCACAAACTTCATTGGCTCGAAGACCGCTTACTCTGTATGAACACCTGCCACTGCTGTTCTCCAGCATTCCTATCTGTCGTGTAATACTGGAGTGACTGTTTTATTTTTGTCACATTCTTCTTTTTATTACATCAGCGCTAATCCTCTGAGTTGCATAGAATAATTACACGCTTTTGAGTTTGTTATTTGGCCTGCTTCAGCTATCATGAGTGTGACATTTCCTGTTCATCTCGGATGATTTTGCTATGGTGTTTTAGAACTTACCGAGCCCTGTGGAAATGTAATTGTTTTAAAACGTAAACGTTGATTGGGGGGTGCTTTTGAGTATGCTGTTATGAACTACAACTTCAATGTGCCCCTCATAATAAACGTATGCTCAGGGTCCAAAAGTGTAGCGACGACAAAACACAAGAAAGAGCTAAACATTGAGGGCTGCTTTCTCATTTTACATTTATGGCCTGTTATAAAACGGATAACTATAACACAATAACTATAACTCCGCAATAACTATAACACACAGAGCATTCCAATATCTGCTTAATTTGTTCTCATACTCTCGTGAACTATAGATTAACAGAACGTAAGTAGAAAGTTAGCTGATGTTGGGATTGATGGGAACAGTGACAGCGGTATAGTCGCATAATTGTTGCAAGGGTGTTGTGTATCCGCTTCGGTAGCACGCTGGCCCCACAAGCAGCAATTAACTTAAGTTTCCACTGTGGGGGGCCTCAGTAAGACAGGTAAGTGTGGGAGAATGACCATGAATATCTCTTTTCTACTTGCAAAGTCTAATTGTTTTCCTCTATAAATGCCCACTGCATGAGACAAAATACACTTGCAGCTCGTGTGTGTGTGTGCGTGTGTGTGTGTGTGTGTGTGTGTGTGTGTGTGTGTGTGTGTGCGCGCGCGCGCGCGCGCTTTTTGGATGAACCTTTTTTACCATGACATGTGGTGTATACAAAACGTGAAAAGTCAGTCTTGGCCTTTTTTTTTTTTTTGCGTTACCTACAGATCTATATACATACAAGATTGCTACATACAGATCGCTATAAACATACAAGATTTTCGATGCATCTACAGTGATAAGCACGTTACTACATGAGCATCAAAACATAATTGTTGTGGCCTTTGAGATTTAAACTTTTGCGCACAAGTCTCAAAGGCTATACAAATAAAAACATTGATGCGTTTTACCGCCGATGCGGGTCGCATCAGTCGTTTTACGGACGCGCGCGGTCTCCGTTGTACTACGGTACTTCGTTGTAGTTTGTTGGCTAGTTGTGAGTTTAGGATTACAAAAGCGAAATACGGTCCGTAGTGAAAGAAGTAGAAGCTGGTAAAGAGGCAGGACGTAGTCATCGGCTGAAGAAACTGATAGTTCGCAATCTCTGCTGAAGTGTTATAAGTGCGGGTGGACGATTGAACTGTGATGGGTTCGCGTGAGTTGCCGACCGGTTTAGTGTGGGTGGCAGTGTTCCAGCTTTTGTTGATTGTGCTCGACGTTTCGTGTCACGGTCACAGTCACCAGAATGAACTCAACAAGGAGCGTGTTGAAGATGGAGCAGTACGATCAAGGGGCGAAAAACATCTCGCTTCCGAGCAGCACGACACCAGCTTTGACCACGAAGCAATCCTCGGTAAGCTTCACTCTTCTGGGAAATACGTTCGTCGGGAGAACATAGATTACGCAATGGTGTACTACCTCAATACCATTCGATAGTTAAAGCGATCGCTGTGCATGCTTCGATGCAATGCGATACGTAGGCTGCAACGGCCGTTTGCATTAACTTCAGAGCCGAATCAAGTACTGTCCGAAATTCGATCTCCGTATCTGTAATCATTTCTTGCCATCTTTTCTCTACACCGGTGTCACGCGGCCGCTTTTGATCGTGATCGGGCACGATCCGAATCAAATTTACTGATCGTGTTGGCTGCCTTCGCAGAAGCTGTTGATGGGAGCCAATCATTGTTTTGATCCCAGACGGGCTTCATCGCAATTAGCAAATCACCGCGTGACACCAGTATTACTTCTGCCTCACAGTCGTGACCGACTGTGAGGCATATCGTTTATCGACAGCGGAATATCGTTTCTTCGATCGTGATTGGCCGATTGCGAAGAAAAAAAGTCAGTCGCGCTCTGGAAGAGCGATCTTAATTGAAGTCCACTTGCAATCGAAAGTTACTGCGCGTGACACCGATGTAACATGAAGTAATACTATATAAAGAACGTTAAACCTGATCTCCATTGTCATTTTCAGGGAGCAAAGATGCAGCAGAGGAGTTCGACCAGTTGCCCCCCGAGGAAGCTAAGGCCAGGTTAAAAGAGCTGGCAATCAAAATGGACAGGGATGAAGATGGATTTGTTGATAGGCTCGAACTGATTGACTGGATACTGCGTTCTTTCAAGTAAGTGTCGACCATTGTGCTCAAGCTAGGCTGTAAGAAAACCTCTTGATTTGCTTTCCATAAGCATTTCAAAAAAATTCACACGCTGATGTGTCTATTGTTATCGACCATAATGAATTTACTACTTTTTTTTTTACCCTAGCTAGATGGCAAATATTTAGGCGTATATTGTGTGCTTCGTTATCTTTACAGACCATATTCGTCGCAACATCATATCGTTAGCTCTAGGAACTGCTTATACCCATCGTTACACAAAAAAAGATGTGATGGGATGTTTCAATCCATGAGCACTCAACATAATTTTATACAAGCCGACAAATTAAACTCGCCTGATCTGCATTGGGGCTAGCTACTGTCAAAAAAAAATCGGGAGGCCCTTAAGCTTCACTTTTCAGAGTTGAATGCGATAGCGATATACTGTCCTTAGTGCGTACTTCAATCACTTGGTGCATACTCTTTATTGTATGGTGATACTCTAGAAGTTTAAATTGCAGATTGCTAAGATGTCATCGATAAAGTTCAAAGTGGCTTGTGTCAGTGAATGTTTTGCATATGGCTGCATTCTGTGTGATGGGTAGCATGCTTTAAACCATGAGCAATTATGCGTGCGAATTTTCAAAAATTTGCTATGCACCCACTACGTGGTCTTAAGGGAATACGTACAATAACAAGTGTACCTTTTGCAATTGGTGGCCGACTTCAAACCACAAAGTCGTTACCACATTCTGACCACAAGGTCACACCACATTCTGATGCCCAATGGCAATATTCGTTTGTGGCACACAATATTTCTGCGATATTACATGTTGTAGTGTGAAGCCTGTTTTCAGGACGTGTGTATTTGTAATTCATGAACGTTATTTTCACTGCATTTTCAAGCAGAGCAAGTTATTTAACTGTACTCTCCAGTGGAGGCGTGGCTTTGTGGTAGAGCACCTATTTGCCATGTAAATGACCCGGGTCTCATTCTCCTTGGGGGCCCGAAATGTTATTTTATTTGCATCCTTCTGGATTTTTCATTCACGCATAAGATGATGATTTTTTCTTCACAACCAATGGCTTGGACGCCTGAATTTCTGCGAAGGGAGCTCTTTACCGCTATTGCTTCCATCTTTACCTTCCTGCCTTTCTTTTGGATTTCTACTCATGAGAGCCACATTCTTACGGTTTACAAACCAAGGATGCTTATTTAAGAATTTTTCATTATGAGTAATTTTTTGTAAAATTCCAAACTTTGATGTGGAATGTGTTGTGGTGACTGTTTAGCATCTACGGCATTGCTTTGCTGTGCAAGAGAGTGCAAGTTCGGTTCTTGGCCTCAGCATTCGAATTCCAAGACAAAGTCCCAAAAATGCTTGTGTACTTGGTTTGAGGTTCATGATAAGTGATTCATTGCGGTAAAAATTATCGTGGTCTGTCGCGGCAGAGTGCCTAATAACCATACCTTGCTTTTGGCACGCAATATCCCAAAGTTTATTTTTCTGCTTCAATAACAAGAATAGTTATTCGATTAAAAGATGTCGATTTCTCTCTTCTCTTTTTTTTTCTAAACAATAGTTACAACTTAAATGTCAGCATGGTTTCCCACACACTTGGCTGCTTGTTAGCAAGCACCTATTTATATCTAATTAGCTGTGAATCCTATTTCCAGCCACTGCACTGGCTTGAATAAGTGATTATGTGGGGGTAGGTGTACGCATCGTCAACATTTCATTCATTTATTATTTCTTAATAATCTTGACTTTAGTCCACAGCTATTGGTCTTGTAAATGCCTGCAAAAATTTCCAAGCTATGATTGTACATTTGTGCTTGTGCTCTCGAAAGGTTGCTTACTCAAGAGGAGGCAGCTGAGCGGTTCGAAGATGAAGACAAGAATGGTGATGGAAAAGTCACGTGGGATGAGCACGTCAGCGAAGCCTTTGGATCACCGCAGAAAATTTCAGACAGTGACACCGAAGATAATGACTTGAGGGTACGTGACTCGTTTTCTTTCTATTTTTTCTTTTTGCCATTAAAAGCAAAGATTGATATCTTCTTGTCAATGCAGCCACAGGAATTTTATGCGTTTGCAGATGGATGCGCTTCTTGACTGAATTAAAAGTGGGCGAGAAATGAATCTTCATTCAGGAAAAGCTGGCAATAAATTTATTGGACTGTGGTAGCAAGGAATTGCCAAAGGTCTTGTGCGAACTGGAAGTTGCAATTGAACGTGCGCTTGCGTATGTTATGGAAGTACTTACTTCGGACAAAGGTTATGCTGAGAAGTTTCTGAATCGAGCAGAATCAGACAGATATATGGGGTTTAACATCCCAAAACCACTAAGGGTAATGAGAGAAGCCGTAGTGGAGGGCTCCGGAATTTTCGACCACCTGGGGTTCTTTATCGGGCAGAATCAGCTACTCCAGCGTCACTCAGTTTAGCGTACAGGGAGCACATGCCTGCCGTACTTTAATTTCAATGTTGTCCGCTGTTTGCAAAAATAAATGGTCATTAATAAAACCTAGCAACTCCCTCTGGCTACGCGAATGTCGGTGGGCAATTCAACTACAAAACCGGTCGTATCCAAAACAGTTGTCCCATTTAACCTGCAGTTCTGCTTAAGAGGCTTCCTTTTCAATGTACGAGATACTATAAATACAAGGTCTTTTTTTTTTTCGAGGAGGCTATAAAAACTACGTTATTTAGCATTTTTTTAAATTCAGGAAATACTCGGTAATCAATGTAAGAGTAATATTTCAAAAATGTTTATAGCATTTGATTGCATTAACACTATTTTAATTTCTCAGCATGCATCTACTCTTATTTTTCTGAGATTTGCATATGCGTTGACCAATGTAAGGCAGGGACAAACGCTTGCAAAGTGTCTGGCATTCAAAGCAGCACTTTAGTTGAGAATGAGCCACGTATCCCTGTGCATGTCAGCCTTCAGAGTTTCCGCATTGTTTTGTGCTATCTCCGCATTGAGGCACACTTTGCACCTCATCTTGTTTCTGACAGAAAGCTGCTAACAATAGCCTGCTTGTTTTATTTATTTTTTATTTTTTTCATAGTGCAGCCGTTATTCTTTATTAAGTGCAGCAACTGCCTGAATACCCTTTCGGGTAGAGTTATCGCTTTCCCGACACCTGAAACAATCGCATATGTTGCTTCACTAACTTTGCATATCTGGTGGCCCTTTGATTTCAGAACTTAAAGCACGTAACAGTATTACAAAACCCCAGCCAGTCTCTGCCAAGTCTTGTCGATTCTGTAAGAAGAAGCCAGAAGCAAGTGTGTACTGTTCGTGCTTTTGCTGCAGGATTTTACATTGCGTATCGCTGACTGCTTTTGTCCTCATTAACGACTGCTGAAACGAATGTCACTGTCCGTGAGTTTGGCCACCCTTGCCTTCACTTTATCGCTGGCTTCACATTATTTATTCGTAATGATTAGGGCTAGCTCTTGGCAGAGCAGTAAAAAAAATACTTGGAAATACCACTCTCATGCAGGCTATGTGCATGTGTAGTGGCATTAAAATTGACAGTGTACACATAGATCAACAAGGTATAGGTGTACAGATACAGCACACCAGTCTTGTTTAAGCAAGTGAGCTGAAAAAACTTTCCTGAAGGCAACAAATTCTTGAAAGTATGTAAGAATGGGCTTGTCGGTGAAGCATTGTGAAAACTTGTGTTGTACGAAAAAGACGCAGACTAAGAAACACGACGGGATTATGGGCTGTTTCGTTGTATGTCCCGGCGACACTGTTCCATCGTATTTCTTAGTTCGTGCCTTTTTTGTGCACCACAAGCTTTCACAAAAATTGGGTTGTTGATAGATAGTGTGAATATGGAGAAGCCCCTGCTCAGATTTTTTTTTTAATGCATTAGTGTATGCGTCACAAGTGTTTGGAGAAAAAAAAAGAAAGAAACCTCAGTTCAAGATATATTTGAGTATTGACTGGAAGCACAATGACCACATTGCATAGAAACATCTCTGAGGTAAAGTGGAAACGCTTACGTCATATCTACTAACAGATGCATATGCTGTGTGCTTACGACTTGTGACGAGAAGATCAGGCAGATACCAGCCTTCTAACTTCTTCGTGCTTCAGCTTGAGTGTACTAACTATTTAAGGGCAATTGAGCCAAAGTTGCAGCTCACCTTTGAAGGCATGCCTATTTAAAGACACCGTTGATGCGAAATGCATCTTCTCTTTCAGCTGCTCGAAGAAGATGATCGTTATTTCAAAGCAGCGGATGCCAATGGAGATGGCGTGCTCGACAAGAATGAATTTCCCAAGTTCTCTCATCCATCGGAGTTCCCGGAAATGCAGGAGGTAACTGAGCCACTTGCACGCTTTCTCGCTCAATGCTCCTCTCTTTTTATCCTGTTTTCCAACCATACGATTCGCCATCCTGTTTTCCACCCATTCAATTTGCCAGGCTGTTGCTAGCCAAGCAGATTTTTAAATTGGCACTATCACAGAATATTCATATATAAAACTCATAAAATTGGCTCCATCAGTTAAATATCTTGCTTATGCACTCGGAGTTCACACTTTCTTGTCAGAATTACGACACTGGCTTTGCCATTAATCGGTCAGAAGCATAACAAGAATATTGTTAATGGGTATGTTACAGCAAATTAATAATTAGAATAACTGTGGGTATTTTACATTGCAAAAACTACAATCCGACTGTGTGGGATGTGGAACATCTGCTGCTTTTTAACGTGTACCTTAGTCTAAGTACACGGGCCTTTAGTATGTCCCCTCCATGAAAATGCAGCCACCACAGCCAGGATTCGATACTGCAACCTTCGAGTTGCCGGACAAGCACCATAAACACTGCATCACCGTGGTGGATCCCAGTACATTAAGTCATTCCGAAAGAGTAGCCATAACCGAAGCATTGCGACCATTAGGGTTTAATTATCAGTGTTATTTGCCCCGACAGCCGATGTGTGAAGAATGGTTTCCAGAGCACAAGCCAGTGCGACAAGCTGAGCATAAATAGAACGGAAACTGTTCACGTCTCAATTTTAGTTACTGCCATGAGCATTATCAGTGTTTTCGCGAGAATGCCACTGGGGCACTGCAGTCTTCTAATGTCAGAGAACATGCGTCACTGTGCATTGGCCAGCTCTTGTGAAGTGTGAATCAACTTTTCTGCATTAGTGGCCACCCATGAGCGTCGTACAAAAAAGGAGGAGTTCTTCCCTTTTGGGAAAGATGTGTGAAAGTGCTTGACCTACGATTTTTCTTCCTTTCTACCGCTATGTGCACTGCTTTCTTCCTTTTCCTTCTTCCATCTCGGGAAAAGCACCCACGTGCTTTGCAGCATAATGCCTTTGTTGCTACAGGCAACCACTGTCATGTTTGGATCAACGAAATGCAACGATAAAAGGGCGTAATCTGAATGTGGCAACGTGAAACTACAGGTGACCTTGACAAAAGATGAGATTGCCCTATCGGCTATTGCCTGCTGTCATCAAGCCCACGATTAAGAGCTCGTATATCATTTATTGGAAATTGGTGCATACAATTACGCGTGTGACCAGCGCGACTTCAAGGGCTCAATTTACGTAGATTCACATTTCTGTACACCCACGAGCACCAGGTTTTTTGGGAAACTATGCTGCCGCCGAAAATCCAACTCGTAGAAGCTTCGCTTGAAAAGGGAGGTTAGTAGCTGTCAATTTACAGACGCATAAGACTCGGATAAGCAGAGCTTGTCTAATGCATGTGTGCTGCCAGGTCTAAGCTTACGAGCTCAAAGGTGACCAAAAACACAAAGATTTAAAGCAAAGCCGTCTATTCCTTCATCGCAATGCAGACCTGCGGCATGTAATGAAAAAGTGGGATCGTAAACTTGTGAACTGTGGCATGGAGGGCTGTTGCTGTTATAACTCTACCTGTTTAGAATATATTGTCACGTGCGTCCCACAAAAAAGACAAAGGCGACAGCGCATACGCGCATCTGCAGGCTTTTATGCAGAACGCAACAACGAGAAAGACGAGGAACCCTCTGGCGTGCGGTTAATAAAAAGACCAACCCACTGCTGTTTTCTCAGCATCTTCAAATACGACCTCTGTCTTCACGTCGCGACAATATCCACATATTTTTTGCTGTCATGAAGTGCTTTCCAGGGACCTACGACACAAATTGGTAGCCTACAAACCAGGCGACAAGGTATGGGTCTAGATCCCAAGACGTCGACGCAGACGTTCAGAGAAGCTGTTACGACGATACTTCGGCCCATATCGAGTCACCCGACAATTGAACGATATCAACTACGAAGTTATTCCCGACGGCGATTGCAGTTCCAGTGGCCGAAACCGCTTACCCGACATTGTGCATGTCATCCGGATGAAACCCTACTTGTCCCAGCTAACTCTCATTTGTCCTGTGGGTGCCGGTGCATATGTGTGTTGTTATAAATAGAGCGCCTTGGCTGCGCATCGAGATGATGCCATTTTTGGAGGGAGGGAAATGTCACGTGCGTCCCGCGAAAAAGATGAAGGCGACAGCGCATACGCGCATCTGCACGCTTTTACGCAGAATGCAACAACGAGAAAGACGAGGAACTCTCTGGCACGCGGTTAATAAAGAGATGCTGTTTTCTCAGCGCCTTCAAATACGACCTCTGCCTTCACGTCGCGACAATATGCACATATTTTTTGCTGTCATGAAGTGCTTTCCATACCTTTCCGAATTTCAACATATCTATTTTTTGATGTGGCCACTCAGATACCGATGCACCATTGTGTTGCTTTTGTAAAACACAACCCTTATCCTGGAGGCAATAGTTTCAGTGCATCTCGGTCCACACTGCTTAACCAAAAAGAAGTGAAACTTGTTGTTACCTAGTTGAGAGTAATCATTAAAGCTGAAATTGCTCTGTTTGCATTATATTTCCATGATTAAACTCATTCATTACAAGTAAACTAATAAACAGCCAGTAAAACATGCATAGTAACATATGTGAGATGTATAAAACGAAGCACAGGGAATAATCAAAAGCATTTTGGGATAATTAGCTACTGCAATACATGTAGACATGTCCCAACTGTGCTTTCAAACAACACCCGTGAAACAAAAAGTTTGTTGCATCATCAGAGAAATTCGCAAAGAGCTCCTTTTTAAAAAAACTGCTCTAAAATTCCCACCAAGTGGCCCGTTCAGCTAGCCGAAATTACTGGCAAAGCGGAGGAGATGCTTTCGTAGATGGCAGCAGCAAAGTTTTCTCACCAGGAAAGCTGAGTGTGCGTGAACTTCCTCAAACTTTTTCTGCCTCTCGTTTGTGATGCCGCGCATCACTGTGATGACCTGATAGACAAAAAAAAAAACACTAAGACAGTGTCATTAGACAGAGGCAAGCATGACATGTTCACACCTTCTGTGATAAGCCGATGCTTATTCAACAGATTAGGACAACAGGCAGACCTCGAAGGCCCTGCTTTTTTTAACTGGTATGTGCACTATGATCTAGAATATGTCATAGATACCATCCTTGAAATGTAAATGTGTATCTCAAAGGCCACGCTTTCACTTGCAAAGACCTAACAATCCTGCATGTCATGCCCTAACTTCATTATGGCACTTGGAGACTGGCATTCTAATAGTAGTAGTAGTAGTAGTAGTAGTAGTAGTAGTAGTACTTTTATTTACAGTAAGCCGGATACAGAGCTCACTGCAGGGGCAAAGGGCTAAAGGCAAACAGCCTGACAAAGGCCCTTGTCCCTCCGCAGTCCGTGACAGAGCAAAGCGTAGACATCAGCACTGACAAACAATATATATATTCAATACATTGGTTTCAAGCAACCTGCAATTGTACACACAAAATTCAAACATAAATAGCATAAGAAGTTTACATAACACATTTTAAGAATTAGAGGTCACTCTCGTAAAAATTCACAACTAAACTATATCAATGAAACAACTCAAAAACAAACACAAAATGCATGCGGATACAATGAATTGCGCTGTATACACTCGTATAATTGACATAGAAATTTATGAACAATTTAAGCATTTGCAGAGGCATGAGACTCCATTACGTAGTTTCGATAGTGTAGACCGGTGGTTATGAATAAGTTCTTTGTTTCTTGAAAGTCGCACTACTAGCCCTAAAGTTCAATTGATCTGCAAGGGTATTTAAAACCTGAGGTACCTGGTAAGCAACACTTTGTTTTCCATACTTGGTTATTGTTCTAGGAGCTTGTTTCTTTTGTTCTCGCAGACTGTAGTGTGGTCTTTCGGTGCAACTTTTTTCATATAGCTTAGTCTTTTGTATTAACTGAAGCAATTTAAAATGATATAATTGATCAATTCTGAGTATGGAATGTTTAATGAATAGTGGAGCAGTGCGCAAGTCTTGTAGATTCCCCCTGTATTTTTCAAAGCAGCGCAATACTTTCTTTTGTATAGTTATGAACTTATAGTAATTCCCCTGTTGATGTCGTTCGCCAGACTAACATCCCATAAGTTACTTTAGAATGGAAGAGTGCATAGTACATACTTATTTTTATCCTCAATGGGATTAAGTGCATTGTTCTAAAAAAACAACCAACTATTCGCGCTAATGCAGTGATCAGATGATTTACATGTGTGTTCCAGTTTAATTCCTCCTGAAACCATACACCAAGAAACTTTTGTTCCTTAACATGTGCGATGCAATTTCCTTCGAATTTTACAGCTATGTTACTAATAGGTTTGTTTATAGGTCGGAATATCATATAGGTTGTTTTTTTTTTTTTGCATTCAAGCGCAGTCCATTTTGCCTTAACCAATTTGAAAGATTGCTTAGATAATTATTTACACTGACCTCAAGTGATATTAGATTGTCTGATGAAAAGAAAACGTTCGTATCGTCAGCGTACATTATAAGTTCAGGAGAATGAGGTATATCAACAATATCATTTATATAGGCAAGGAACAATAATGGCCCCAGTATAGACCCTTGGGGGACTCCTTGGTTTACTTTTATCTTTGCAGAAATAGTGTTATTCAGTTGTACATATTGATAACGATCTTCAAGGTAACTATTAAACAGTTGTAATGTAACTCCACGCACCCCATAACTTGATAATTTATGAATCAATGATTTGAATTGTATGGAGTCAAATGCCTTTTGAAGATCAAGGAAGAGCCCAAGAGTATATTTTTTGTTTTCCATATTTTCGATTATCTTATCTTTGATATACTGTAGAGCTTGTTCTGTTGATTTATTTTTTTTGAAAACAATACTGACTTTTTGTTATTATTTGATGCTTATCAAAAAAAGGATGCAAGTCTATCATAAATAACCCCTTCAAATATTTTTGATATTGTTGGA